GAGAAGGGAATGGCAACCCATTCTATTATTCTTGCCTGGAGAATTCCATGGACAGAGGAGGCTGGCGGGCTACAGTCCATGGGGTCACAAAGAGTCGGACGTGACTGAGCGACTAACACTTGCTATAGTAGAAGATGATAAAAACAAAATTATCATGGTTAGCAAACTATCTGAAATGAAAATTTTAGAATATATTTAAAAACAACAACAACAACCAAGCTTCTGGTTTTGTTTGTAGAATTGTATGATTCTCCATCCAGGGTTTTTAAATAATGACCTGAATTTTTATACATACTTAGAAACCACTTTTGAGATTTCTTACCTAATAGCAAATACACCATTGGAGAAACTGCAATAGAGAAATAATTTACATAAAGCAATGATGAAAAATGAAAACATTCTGTTTAGTTGGAAAACCCTTTAGAAGACATAGCAAAGTGTTAGGAAAAAAATTACAAACAGTGGGCTGACTGCCGAAAGAAAGAAGGTTGAAAGACTTCTAATATGAGTCCATGACTGAGCTGCTGGGTTCTTTCTAATCAAAATTTTTAAATTTTATTTCAACTTTTTTCCCTTTAAAATTTTGTTTTAGTATTAGAAGCATATTCATAATGTGTTCATACTAAAATATAACATAATATACAAATATAGATATTAATATTAAATATTTTTAAAGTGCAAATACTGGAAGCACATGCTCAAAAGGGTTTTACCAATAGGAGTGCATGATTTACAGTCTTATGTAGAGGATAGCTAATCAGAAACAACAAAGAAAATGGGTTGGTTTAGCTTCTTAAAAAAATTCACTAGGGAAAAAAAATGTTTCACGCCATATACATAACATATCAATTCTAGGTGTGCCTTGGTCCTCTTGTGCCAAGTAAGCAAAATTAGAATGCTAATTACCTAAGTGTTTTTACAGTTGTTTGGCTAATATCATGTTTGCCTTTAGTTAAAAGTCACATGTGAAGAGTACAGTCCCAGAGACTGTGATTCCGAAGGAGAACAAGCATCAGCCCAGGAAATGTGGATGGTTAGGAAGTACCCTGAACTGTTAAGAAGTAACTGCTCACCTGTGGAGATAAGGACAGTAAGATCTGAGAGTTAAATGGCTTGCTGGTGTTATGCAGCTGGGTCCCTAAACAGAGCAAGGACTGGGACTGTCCAGACTAATCTTCTCCCCATCCAGGGAGCCTCTTTGGATACGGCCTGCACCTGAAGTGACAATCTGGTGTGGGCCTAGTTTTGTATTTCCAGGTTGGAGGAAAGCAATGGATTCAAAGCTTCAGCTAGAAATCACTCTTCACTTGCAAAGAAAATCCTTTGAATTTTCTGGTGAGACTCATGGCCAAAGGCTTTATAGAGCTAAAGACAAAAGGTCATTGTTGGGTTTGCTGGCATCACCATGTTGCTAGGAGAGCGTCTGTGATGGAATGTCCCAGGCAACAGCAGCCGGGATCCTCCACACAGCCCCGCCGTGGGCAAAACACACGGCCTCTGTGGACAGGGACAGAGACTAGGCACCCCAAGGGCAAGGCAAGGGCACCCAGTCCTCCTGGACTTCGTGGGAGAGAATCGAAGACTAGCACAAAAGTCCTCATACCACATCATTTCTTAATGATTTTAAGAAATAAACATAAGTTAAAATTTCAAATTTTATTTTGCCTCGTGGTAGCCAAACCTGCTCAGTTCCTCTGGACAACAGTTATAACAAACAGCAGTAAAATGAGCCTGAAATGGATATGAACTCATTTTGCTGGGATAGGCAATGACCTGGTCCCATGTTTGACATGCCAGTCCTGGGACCTCTCCAAGCATGTGGTGTAAGGATGGTGTATTGGCCCAACTGCCTCACAGGTCAGGTCAGCGAGCATAGGAGGATGAGAAGGATGCAGATGAAGGGAACAGATGCTTTTCAGGGAACAGGGTGCTAAACGCTGTGCTGAAATGCTCGGCACAGATCCATCTCTTTCAAGAACCAGGATTCCAACTGCCACACGCCTTCTTCCCTTTGTTATTTACATCCTAGAAAATATGCCTCCAAGTGTAATGTGTGCTCATATATATGTATGTATTTTCAGAGTGAGAGAAAACAGAAAGAATAAAAGGAGATTTTTGACTCACTAACATTTTTGAAATGTTTGAAAACTGCTTTTGGGAAAGCAATATAGCTTTTGCTTAGAAATAGAAATACAGCACATTTTCATTTAAAAATATCCCTGCATTTCTTTTTTGGGGGGGTGGGGAACGTGTTTCCTAAACCTCTTAAAACTGAGCATGGTTGTCAGTTCTGAAGTCTTCCTGCTAAGCATTAACGGGCGGCCGTGTCACCTGTGACCAGGGCTAAGGGCATAGCCCCGGGCTCCCACCCCTGCTTCTGAGTCCCCAGCATAGGGTCAGAGTAGGGGAAGGTATGATGCTGGCTGACGTAGACTCTGGCGTTGGGTAAAAATGGGAGAGAGAGAAAAAAGCAGCCAGGGAGGATTCTGGGTGGTTAGATTGATGGGGAAATCTTCCACTTCAAAAGCTCGGAGGGCCCCACAGGACTCGGGCCGGCCCAGCACCGGGGACGGAGTAGGGTCCCCAGCCCTCCATGCCAGCTGCCACTCCTGCAGGTAGTGATGCTCTGGCTAAAAAGCTGAGTGGGTGGAGATGCCTCTGGCAGAACCTTGACCCATCCTCAGCAGAAGCTACTCACTAGAATGATCTGCTGTCATGTAGACTATCTGCATGTCATGGCTGCCACAGGGAATGGGCACATTTATACCATTGCTGGGACCATGTTGAGGGGTGGTGAGGGATGCTCCAGGTGCCCAGGTGCCCAAGGCCCTAGGGCATCAGTTTATTGATACACTGACAACTGGCACAGAGACTGGGAAGCTCTAGTTCACAGTGCAGCCCCATCTCTGAGGATGAAAGCCTGTGTCCCTCATTGAAGGATAGGGAAGGGCAGGCATCTTTGGGGTGGCCCTGAGGTCATGGTACCAATGTCTCTTCCTGCAGTGGGAAAGCAGAGGTGGTATGAGGCCTGAAGAAGAAGATGGTGGTTCTGTGAGGCCCTGGGAATCTTTGGCAGGTGCCTGCCCTGTGCCAGGGGAGATGTGAAGGGTTCCTCCCAGAACCCTGAGCTCCTAAACTCTGCACCTTCCCTCCCTCTGTGAGGGGAGAGGGCCATGGGCAGAGCCTGGATCCTAGAACTGGGATCTGGAAAAAGTGGGTTGGGAGTTTCTGCCTCTCCTGTAGTCCTGCCTACAGCCATCCTCTGCTGATCTCTGAGGACGATGCCCCAGGCGAGGAGCGTGATGGGGTTTGTATTTGATAAGGAGGAAGTGAAGGAATATCAGTGGGCCCATCCATAGAGGGAGAACGCAGCAAATACTTCATAAGGGAGGTTATTGCCTTTCCTCATGTATGGTTTTCTAACTTAATAAAACATTTTTTTCTGTACTCCCGGCTTTCCAATCCTGAACTCTTATTTTGTTTCTCTGGGCTCTCACCCTGACTTATGACTAATACACCATCCATGAGCTAACAGTTTGCAAATGGATGTATTCAGCCAAGTTTCTTCTCCCGAATTTCAGAAGTATACCTAATTCCCTACTGGTCATTATGCTTAGATGCCTATTAGGTACCTGAGACTTCCTCGTGTGTAGTTTGGCAAAGAGGAAATCATTCCATTCACATACTGCAAGTAATCTCCCGTTTACCAAAACCTTTGGAATTAAGAGCGTTTCGTGCTCGTAGCTCACAGAATCAAGGAACGTGGTTTTCATTTATGATTGTTTTAGTAATTTCTGCCAGACTAAACAATAAAATTCTATTCTTGTTTCCAGAGTTTTACCAATGTGAAGCATACTTTATTATACATTTTTAATACTATCTGAGTCTTCAAATCATGGTGTGGGCAGTCATGACTGCATGTCATAGCTGCAGACAGACAACTTGAGCCAGAAGACAGCTTGCAACGTTTTTCTGAGGTCTTCAGAAACACCGTCTTTCCAGTTGGGCTCAGGTGATCTTTTGTTGTTGTTTAGTAGCTAAGCTGTGTCCAGCTCTTTCGCGACGCCATGGATTGTAGCCCATCAGTCTCCTCTGTCCATGGAATTTCCCAAGCAAGAATACTGGAGTGAGTTGCCATTCTGTAATCTTTGGCATCGGATAATTTTTCTCACCTCCTAACTTTGTCCCTATCATTTATTTTACCTTTTTAAAAATTGAAATGTAGTTGATTAACAATGTTGTGTTTGTCCCAGGTATACAGTAAAATGATTCAGTTTTAGATTCTTTTCCATTATAGGTTCTTTTTAGATTCTCTTCCATTATAGGTTATTAAAATATACTGAATATAGTTCCCTATGCTATACAGTAGGACCTTGTTGATTTTCTATTTTATATATGGTAATGCATATGTTTAATCGCATGACCCTCCCCCTTCCCCTTCGGTAACTGGAAGTTTGTTTTCTATGTCTGTGAGTCTATTTCTATTTTGCAAATAAGTTCATTTGTATCATTTTTTTTAGATTCCCCATATAAGTGCTATGTTATTTGCCCCTACCATTTCTAATAACACCTGAATTACTTCCAGATTTCATGACCAACCATACCAGGCTGGGATGCAGCTGAACGGGGATGGCCAGAAAGATCCATTAGTAGAGATTCGGTCAGCAGATCCTACAGCTCCTAGGATCCAGAGCCGCTGGGCAGGTGGGGACCAGAGCTCCAGGTGGGAGAAGCAGAGCCCAGGAGCCCTGGCATCAGGCCTGGGAAGCAAGACCCCAAGGCCAGGAAGGTGCAAAGTGAAGATGCAGCTGAGTAGAAACCAAAGGGCATGAGAGGCAGGGCTGGGAAAGGCCTGGGGTGCCTGCAAACGGCTGGAGCTGGAGACTAAGCTTGGTGCCACTACATTCTCCCTTTGCAGCTAAATAGAGTCCCACTTTGGAAACTGGCTGGTCCCAGAGCTCAGCCAGCCCCATAGGCCAAGCAACATGTGGATGACTTACGTGGCAGTGGTTCAGAGGGAGGCATGAGGCAGTTCTTGGTGATAGTTGTAAGCATCCTCATTACCCCGAAATGCTTCAACACAGACGAATGACATAGAAGTAGGAATGCCCGTATCAGATGCAGTGACGTATGACGTATCGGGGGACACCCATACCACAGATGCAGTGACTATGAGGTAGATGTAGGGATGCCCGTGTCACAGACGTAGTGACCTGTGATGTAACTGTGGGGACGCCCATATCACAGACGCAGTGACGTATGACATAACTATAGGGACACTCGTATCACAGACGTAGTGATGTATGACATAGATGTAGGGACGCCTGTATCACAGATGCAGTGATGTATGACATAGATGTAGGGATGCTCATGTCACAGACGTAATGACCTGTGATGTAATTGTGGGGACGCCCATATCACAGATGCAGTGACGTATGACCTAACTGTGGGGACACTCATATCACAGACGTAGTGACGTATGACGTAGATGTAGGGACACCCATGTCACAGACGTACTGACGTATGAGATAGCTGTGGGGACAACCGTATCACAGATATAGTGACCTGTGATGTAACTGTGGGGACGCCCATATCACAGATGGAATGACGTATGATGTAGATGCAGGGATGCGCGTGTCACAGGCGTAGTGACGTATGACGTAACTGTGCGGACGCCCGTATCACAGACGCAGTGACGTATGACATAACTGTAGGGACACTCGTATCACAGATACAGTGACGCCTGAGGTAGCTGTGCGGATGCCCGTATCACAGGCGCAGTGACATATGAGGTAGCTGTGAGGATGCCCGTATCACAGACGTAGTGAGATTGCTGTGGGGATGCCCGTATCCCAGATGTAGTGACGTATGACACAGATGTAGGGAAGCCCGTGTCACAGACATAGTGACGTATGACGTAGCTGTGGGGATGCCCTAACACAGACGTAGTGCCTGTAATGTAGCTGTGGTGACCCCGTAACACAGACGTAGTGATATATGACGTAGGGACATATGACGTAGGTGTGGCGACACCTGCAACAGACGTAGCAAGGTAGTGACGTAGACATCAGGACACCTGTGCCACCACATGCGAGGAATTCTAAGTGAACCAAGATGAAGAAGGAAAGTCACACCTAACTGGCACAGGTAAGGAAGAAGTTACACTCCACTGGGTGATGGGGAAGCAGTGGTATAGCAGGTGACCTTTGGGGAGAGATGGAAATAAACTTCAGAGCAGCTTCGGGGACATAGTTTAAACCTCCACATGCTTCCTCAAAGCCCCTGCAGGTTGTTTTGAGGGAGACATGCCATTCTTCAGGTGGAACCCACAGGTTAGCTCTCTTCCTCCAAGTTCTGTTCACAGCAGTTCTTTTCTTGGCCCTTTAGTTATCTGGTATAGTCTGGAGGTGGGTGGTGGACTGACAGTAGAAAACTGGTTTTCATAAGCATTCCTTGCAAATCTTGCAGTTCACTTTGGAATTTTTTTTAACAAAATGGTTTTATTTCTGATATTACACACAGTTTATTATACATGACCCTGGTGCTAAGTGTGAAACTGAAGAACTTACGTGCACATTTTGTAATATTTTATCTATTGCTTGTGGCCTTACTGGAAACTGAGACTAAAAGTTCCAACATAACATTCTTAGTGCATCCGTTTCTTCCCCCAGAGTGTGGGATGTACAGAAAATGGTAGCATTTGTGAGGTACTCTAGGGTCCATGGATGTGCTATATTGGTAGCTGAAGGGGACTGGCCAGGGGCTCCATCTACTCTAGGCCCAGTTGGACAGTTCAAGGGCACACCTAGCATCTATTTGCTCACACAATGTACTACTTCACATTGTTTGGGAAGCTGTGCACTAGGTTGTGCATGAGGCTGAAAGTGATGCAGAAGAGTCAATGATTCATTTGAGCTGTACGGTGGTGGTGATGCCTGAGCTGGGTTTTGAAGAATGAAGAGGAGTTCCCTAGGCAGCCAAGTAGGGTAAAAGCATTCTGAGTAACTCAGTAATTGGTGCACCTGGAGAATTCAAGTGTGTGCTAGATAGAAAGGGATGTGGCTGGTCAACAGGCTGGAGACTTCCATCCTGGGCAGTCCTTTTCCCCAAGACTGAGAGCCATTCTTGCAGCAGTTTCTGTCACTAAGCTTCATTCTTGGCTCCTTTTTTTTTTTTTTTTTTAAAGCTCTTCTTTATAATTCACATCTAGTGAATTTCCAGGTTCTGCTGGTTTCACCTTTTAGCTCTTTTTCACAAGATCCCCTCCCCTCCTTCTCCATACTTGCTGCCATGGTCTTCCTTCTCCCACCTTGTAAAGCAGGACCTTCATCCCATCTCCTCTGCCCACTTTCCCCTCTCCCAGTCCATTTTGTGCACCATGACCAGTGATGTGAAAACATCAAGGCAAGCTTAATCCCCACCCCACCCCCCGATCATTTTACATCTCATTCTGTGGAACTACCCTGCCTTGCCACAAGTCCATCCATATCCACACACTCTAGAACCTTCTACCTGTGAGACCTCCCTGCCTACCTCTCCCCTCTCCCCTGGGCCCACTCTGCTCCAGCCACACCAGTGTCCTGGCTTGTCCTCAAATTGGCCAAGTACAGCTGCTTCAGGGCCTTTGCACTTGCTCTTCCCTATTCTCAGATAGCTTATTTCTCAGGGTGTGTGTGTGTGTGTGTGTGTGTGTGTGTGTGTGTGAGCGCGCAAGTGCACGCGCATGCTCAATCGCTCAATTGTGTCCAACTCTTTGTGACCCCATGGACTGCAGCTCACCAGTCTCCTCTGTCTGTGGGATTTTCCCAGCAAGAATACTGGAGTGGGTTGCCATTTCCTCCTCCAGGGGATCTTCTTCAGATATTCAAAGCTTTCTCCTTTGACATCTTCAAAGTCTCAAACACCACTTTATAAGAGACCATCTGTAAACAATAGCAACCCCACCTCGGACACCCCTACCCCCACTGCCGACTTTATCTTCTTCCAGAGCATCATTACCACGTGGCTGATGCATGTTTATTTGATTATTAGAATGCAAGTCTGCGAAGGTAGAGCTTGGTCCTCTTCCCTGAAGCATCCCCAATGCCTGGCTGGCAGGAGGCTCTTGGTGGTGGTTCTGAATGATGGGCCAATAAAGAGATGTGGGAGGAGGTGGAGAATGTCTGACTCACTTCACATCCAAGGTTTCTCCAGCCTGGAAAAGTCATCTCCTTTGACACCAATCATTTATTGAAGATTGACTATATGTGGGCCTTTGTGTTAGGAATTTTACATGTATTACCTCAGTTAGTCTCTGCAGTGATCTATGAAATATATATTATTTCTAGCCCCCCCTTTTAATATAATGAGTAAATTAAAACATATAACAATGCATTCAAATATACAACAACATATACTTTAAATTCCATTCACTCCTGCAATTTGTTTACTTTTCCTGACCTTTTTCTGTGTACACACAAATGCATACACATAGGATTGGGACTTTGTGTTTTTACCTGCTTGATTTTTCCTTTACAAAAATGAGACCCTGCTACAGATATTGTTATACAGATATTGTAATGTGTCTCAGAGATTTTTGTCATGAAAGTTAACAAGATATATCTCACTTTTTCTCTTGGCTTCTTACAGAGGATCCACCACAATGCATTCAGTTCATCCCCTACTGCTTCACATTCACATTGGGTTTTTGTTTTTGTTCTACTATATTGAAAATAATTCTGTTTACAAATAATAAATGCTGGAGAGGGTGTGGAGAAAAGGAATCCTTCTACACTGTTGATGGGAACATAAGTTGGTACAGCCACTATGGAGAATAGTATGGAGGTTCCTCATAAAACTAAAAATAGAGTCTCTATATGATTTAGCAATCCCACTTCTGGGCATGTACTGGAGAAAACTATAATTCAAAATGATACATGCCCCCCCCCCCCCAGTGTTCATAGCAGCACTATTCACAACAGCCAAGACATGGAAACAACCTAAATGTCCATCGACAGAGGAATGAAGAAAGAAGATGTGGTGCATGTACACAATGGAGTACTACTCAGCCACAGAAAAGAACAAAATGATGCCATTTGTGGCATCACTGATGTAAAGTAATGCTCAAAATTCTCCAAGCCAGGCTTCAGCAATACATGCACCGTGAACTTCCAGATGGTTTTAGAAAAGGCAGAGGAACCAGAGGTCAAATTGCCAACATCTGCTGGATCATCGAAAAAGCAAGAGAGTTCCAGAAAAACACCTATTTCTGCTTTATTATGCCAAAGCCTTTGACTGTGTTGATCACAATAAACTGGAAAATTCTGAAAGAGATGGGAATACCAGACCACCTGACCTGCCTCTTGAGAAACCTGTATGCAGGTCAGGAAGCAACAGTTAGATCCCTTGGACTGCAAGGAGATCCAACCAGTCCATCCTAAAGATCAGTCCTGGGTGTTCATTGGAAGGACTGATGCTGAAGCTGAAACTCCAGTACCTTAGCCATCTCATGCGAAGAGCTGACTCACTGGAAAAGATCTTGATGCTGGGAGGGATTGGGGGCAGGAGAAGGGGACGACAGAGGATGAGATGGTTGGATGGCATCACCGACTCGATGGACATGGGTTTGAGTGGACTCCAGGAGTTGGTAATGGACAGGGAGGCCTGGCATGCTGCGATTCATGGGGTCACAAAGAGTCAGACAAGACTGAGCGACTGAACTGAACTGATGTACTCAGAGATTATCATACTAAGTGAAGTAAGTCATAAAGAGAAAGATATACTATATGATATCACTTTTATGTGGAATCTAAAATATTACACAAAGAAACCCTCTATGAAACAGAAACTGACTCAGACATAGAGAATAGACTTGCTGTGGCCAAGGGGGAAGGGGTGGAGGAGGGACGGAGTAGGAGTTTGGGGTCAGAAGATGCAGGTTAGTATATATAGAATGGATAAACTATAAAGTCCTATTGTATAGCACAGGGAACTATATTCAGTATCCTGTGATAAACCATAATGGAAAAGAATATTTTAGAAAGAAATAACTGAATCACTTGGCTGTATCGCGGAAATTAACACAACATTATAAATCAATTATACTTCAATTTTTAAAAATCAAAAACAATTATATAATAAAAATCTGTCTTCCTATATTTTTCAATCAGGCTGAGGTAGATTATTACGTATCAGGAGGGAGATTCTAGCCAAAATTCCTAGGTCAGCAAATACGCATATACTAATGATGTACTCGGCTTCCCCAGTGGCTCAGTGGTAAAGAATGTGCCTGCCAATGCAGGAGATGCGGGTTTGATCTCTGGGTTGGGACGATCCCTTGGAGAAGGAAATGGCAACCAGTTCCAGTATTCCTGCCTGGGAAATCCCATGGACAGAGGAGCCTGGAGGGTTACAGTCCAGGGGGTCGCAATAGAGTCGGACATGACTGAGCGACTAAGCAACAACAAATTGATGTGTTAGGGTCTGGTCCTGTGGCTGTGGTCTCTGCAGCAGATGTAGCCAGTGCCTCACTCACATCCCTCCACTCACCATCCCCAGGCAGGCTGCCCCACCTCTGCCTGAGGCTTCCTGGGGCCACCAGAGCTTCTCTGTCTTTGTGTAAGCCATGGAAGGAATGCCCCAGAGCAGATTTCAATCAGTGACCCACAGGAGCTAATGGACAAGCACCCGTTGAAGGGTTAACTCTGTGTTTTGATTTTTTCACTGGATCTTAGCCATTCTTTTGCTCTCAGTGGTAACTTGATTGACAGCACACTCTTGATTGACAGCTTTCCCTTTCCTGGCTCCCTTCCTCCATCCCCTACTCAGGTTTCTCAAGTTCAACTCCCAAATGAACCCTCACACTCAAGTCTTTGTCCTGATGTCTGTTTCTGGAGAGTCAGAACTAAGACACTCATTTACTTCTGGGGGGAAAATAGAGTTTATTCTCTAAGTAAAGGTGATGCATGAACCTGGTATTTTTTAAATATAAAGAGATAGAAAATGAAAGGTAAACATCGTTCCTCTTCCAACTTCTAGTCTCTCTACCCAACAGTACTGGTCACAGTACCCTTTATTTCTTTCCAGATAAAACACATGATTATACAAATATATACACATATCCTTTTAAATTTACATAAGTGGGATAATTCTAAACACTATGCCTGGTA